AAGCTTTGTACAAAAATTGAAATTTGCTTAATTAAAAGCCTAATAGCTGTTAATTAAAACGTAATTAAGTAGTGTTCAATATTCGTTAGTGTTCTAATTCAAAGCCGTGTTGTATCCCAATACAGCTCACACAGCAAACAGAATTCGAACACGTGGATGTCGGCAATACGTATCAGTTAAATTTGAAGCGCTGACGCAATACGACTCACCATGTGTCGAATATTGCCACACAAAGTGACGGAATATAGGGATTTGGTAGGTTTCCATTCTAAAGGCTTTTTAATAAATATGGCAACATTTTGTGAGAATTGTGACGTTTCATCGTTGCTGAGGCGTAGTGAAGTGTTTTGAGTCATGTGAATTCAACAGAACTTGCGTAACGCATACGTTTTTTTTTTATAGTTTTTCATTTCTCGATGCGTCCTTAATGTGTCGGAATATACCGCGTTTACCCTACATAATATTAGTAAATAGGATACATTGATACAACAGTAAATTTTTGGACCAAAAATTACTTGGAAAATTTTTTCAGAGTTCAGACAAATTCAGTAGTCAGAAAATAGCTGGAGTCCAATCTGTAGAGAGGAGGGGTTCAGCTAGCCCTATATATCGCCGGTTGGTTGTTGCCGGGCCGCTGCAGATCATAGTGACAAACCAGAGCTTTTTTAGAATCAGTTCATTTTTAATTTCCTCATTTACTCAAGATTTAAACCAATTTATTATGTATGATAATGCTGGTATCCATGATACTTTGCTTGTCTACTTATAGAACTCAAAAATGAACTTGAAGGAGAGTCTAAAAAAACTCTCTGCTTTGCCACTATCAAGAGAGTTTGCCACTTGCCACTCTGCAACTCTCTGCTTTGCCACGATGCTGGTGACTCAGCATAGTGTCAAAGCAGAGAGTTTTTTAGACTCTCCCTCAGTTCATTTTTGAGTCCTAGCTAAAAGTAGATCAGTAAACTCAGGCAGTGTGGAATTCTGTATAGGTAATATATTCTCATGTCAATATAAGAAAACGTATCGAAATACCAACCCTACCACCGCGTTACACCACCTTCCACTGCAATGAAAATTGACGAACTGAGCTCATTTGAAACAGCTGTGCTTCCGAAATCACGCGTGGTTTGAAATCCAATCCCGTGTTGCCAACAACTAATCAAGTTAACTAGTCGTTTATCTGTAGGCTAGCGGACACATTTTTGCAATGAATATGTTCTAAAATAAAAAAACACATCCAGCTTCGTAAAAAATTCTCACGATTGGACAACACCCACAAAGTTTTTGATTTCACACAAAATTATGAGATAAACTTTGACTCTTTCACTGCATACATTCACATGGTGTTTTCTGTTTACTTCTCACAAGACGGTGTCACACACTTATGTTTTGGTTGTGTCTAGTTTGATTTCACAATAAATAAACTTGATTCACATTCCATTCTGAGATTTAAATGATTGAAAGTTTTTTTTTAAATTATAAAAACCTATTTATACGTTCCACATTTGAATTTTTTGCCCTATTATGTTGAATTTATCTTGATAATTCACTTCAAATTCTGAATGATTTTGTCTGCGGTCTGCCATCCCACGTTTTCGAATGTTTTGTGTCTTTTAGAAAATTTTCGTTGTTTAACATGGGAAACTATTTCATTATAGAAAACATAGAGCACGGATGGTATAGTGCATTAATAATACAATTTAATTCAATAAAAATTAATTTTTAATTTAAAAAATATACCGTAAAATGGGGTAACTTAGACCGGCGGGGTAACTTAGACCACTTTTAGTTTTTTTAAGAAAAACCCCCACAACTCAAAAACTATTTGACATAGAAAAATTTTGTCAATGGGCATTAAAGAATACACTTCCAAAAACTAAAGTTCTGTAATCAATGGAGTCTTTGAAATGACAAAATCATTCAATTTAAAATTTTTAGCTATAAGAGTAAGATTGTCATTTGTCAATATGAGGAGCATTCATTCATCATTCCTGAGGAGCTGTAAGAAAAAATTCATTGTTTTTTATGTAAAAGGATGTTTTTCAATTAAAAGAAATGCAATAATTGATTTTTGAAAATACGATGTTAAAATTAACAATCCGTATTAGAATTTAAAGTCGTTTTTGTTCGTTTGATCAGAAGTTTTCATTCGTTTGATCAGAAGTTTTCGTTCATTTGATCAGAAACAGAAAAAGTTTTTGTTCGTTTGATCAGAAACAACATAATTATTCATTCTCTTGCATTAATTATACAAACGATTAGTTAATTCGTAATTCGTATACAACCGTATACAAATTGAGTATACGATTGATCATCCCGCTAGATCACCGGTAGCGGGAAAGAAGCAATTCAATTCAGTAGCACGTTAGATCACGTGTTATGAAGTTCGGCTCGTCTGAACTCTGAATTGCGTGTTTAGTGTGCATGATGAAAAACTCTGCCTAATGATTACTTAATGAAGTTTAGTTCATTGCGGCCAACTTAAGAGACAAATTTTCAACGAACTAATACTTTTTATAAGTCTAATTTTAATTGTTGAGTGAAAGGTGCACTGCAGACTTGCAACTTCCAAGTGATTAGGTACTTTATAGAAACTGAGCAAGTTAGCGTATGTGTTTTAAGCCTTTAAGAAGTTCATTTTTTGCCTCAAATAACGATGTTGGATCGAAAAAGTGGTCTTGGTGGATCGAAATAATATATGAACCTTCGAAATTAGAATTCCGTCCTGCAGTAAAGTATCCTGGATACCAGCATTATCATTTATCATACATAAAAAATTTGGTTCAATTCTTGAGTAAATGAAGAAATTAAAAATGAACTGATTCTAAAAAATCTCTGGTTTGCCACTATGCTGGTGAGTACCTTCATTCACAATGCGAGTGATGGTCTGGTTGTGAGCTTGTCTTGCATGGTTCACCTGCCCTCCAGTTTGAAGGTAGCTAATGAGACAGCGGCTTGGTGTCTTGATTGTTAGTCCAATCTGTCCGATGTTGTCTAAAACATGAAGAAGTCTACAACCTTTTTTGCAGCAAAATTGATAGACTACACTGGCCTCTCGGATAACTCCCGTGTTTTGCAAGTGCCTTTGTTGCGTTTAGTTTGCAATTTGACATTGTTGTCAAGAGTGTCACAAAGCCTGTTAAATTCATTGACGATTTTGAGATGAACTTGCTTGTTAATAATGCTTTGAGACCTGATATGGTAGTGAGCTTGTCTCTGGGTGTAGGAGAAACGGCAGTTCAATGTCGCTGGCGTCACTCCAATAACTCCAATGTAATCCATAATGCAAAGAAGTCTACAACCTTCTTTGAAGTAAAATGTATAGAATACACCGGCCTCTTGGAGAACTCTCGCTTTTTTGCAGGAGCTGTTGTTCAGTATATAGTCAGATGGGGTAAGACAGGACCAAAATCACTAACAAGCCTGTAGCATCTATACCATGAATAAATAAAAAACCCTAAACCTATCACAAGGTGTATTTATGCAATGGGCTTCTAAGCTACAACTTGGACATTTTGCATCCAACATAGTTTTCTGTACAGATTGAAAAAGTGGTCCCATCTTACCCCAGTGATGGGACCAGGCTGGGGTAAGACAGGACCAACAGGTAATTCTTGTGTTACAAAGTTTTTAATGAAAGTACAAATCTGATATTCAATTTTATCCA